GATAGAATGGTTCTTGGCTTCAGACCTTTTGGTGAGTGAACAAGCACATGGAAGATCTCTCTCCCTCTCATATCTCATGAGATCTGGTATCTTTCAAATAAGTAGTTTGTACAATGCTGCTTGGAATCCCCATATGCCGGAAGAGAGTGCCTCAGTTCAAGTCCCAGCTCCACTCCTAACTCCAGTGTCTTGTTCATGGGCACCACTGGAGGAAACGCAAATCGTTGAGTCCTGACCATCTATGAGGGAGAGCCAGATCCTGATTTTCCTCTTCAAGCTGGCCGGACAAAAGAGTGAGCCAGCAGATGGAGACTCTGTTTATTTCAAATAAACACATTTGAATGAAAAAGGGGAATACTCCATGCTATTTTAAACTTTATACTATGAAACTAGTAGCATAGATCAGTTTTCACTTTTTTTTTTTTACTAACATTAATACGAAGGATCTTCAGAAAGTGAATAGGAAATTCCCATTATCTTACATTTCCTGAATATTGATTGAAAGACAGAGTGTCGGTGACACATAAAGAGAGATCTTCCATCTGCTGCCTCATTCCCCAAACGCCTGCACTGGCTTGGGCTAGGCCATGTTGAGGCCAGGAGCCAGGAACTCCATCAGGGTCTCCCATGTGGTGACAGGGATCCAAATATCTAGACCATTTCCCACCACTACCCCAAGCACATTAGCAAGGAATTGGATCACAAACAGAACAGCCGGGACTGAAAACTGGTAACCCAGATATGGGACATAGGCATCCCAGGTGGGGATTTAACCCACTGTGCTGTAATCCCATCCCTTCACAAAATCAGCTTCTTTCTTTTTTTTTGTAAGGTTTATCTTTATGTCAAAGGCAAATTTTACCTAGAGAAAGCAAGGCAGAGAAAAATCGTCTCTCCCTGGCTTATACCCTAAATCGCCAATCCAAAATCAGGAACCAGGATCCTCTCCAGGTCTCCCACGTGGGTACAAGTTCCCAAGGTGTTGAGTTCCTTTGCTGTTTTCCCAGGCCATAAACAGGGAGCTGGATGCGGAGTGGAGCAGCTGGGGTAGTAACCAGTGCCCAGTGAAGGATTAATCTGTTAAGCCACTGAGCTGGCTGTCACAATAGCTTCTAAAATTCTATTTTTCCATTAACCTTTTATGTAACCCTCCTATCTGCAACTTTGTAACAGTCAAGAAGGAAATCTTCCTCCATCATCCAGTTATTCTCAGGGAAAATAGAGGGGGAGGAGAGAGGGGAGGGCTAGGAGGTAAAAGCCTTCTTTAGAGTTGAGTGTGTGTAAGATACCAACCATTTTAGTTTTCACTTCAGAATCTAAAGTTTACCTAAGAGCTTTAACATAGGGCAAGTATTATGTTATCTTTTTCTTCTCAAATTTTTTGGCTCATCTGAGCTTGGTAAATGCTCGCTTGCTCAAGGTTTTAAAATTGGCTTGCAAAAGACATGTTTAGTATGGATCCTGTGTTCAAGGGCATTCTTTTTCAGCCTGATGCAAATATGTTTGTTTTCAAGTGGTGTGAGTTAATCGTCCAACTTTAGATTTCCCATAAAGCGGGTAACAGATTACCCAGATGGCAAATGATACAGCCATTTTAAACATGAATATTTCCATTCGCTAAGCCAGATGGTGATTTAATATGAATTGTCCAGCGTTTATGTTTCTTATTGTCTTTGTCAAGCAAAGTGAGCAGCATAATCTGGAACACACTCAGGAATCACTGAAGGACAAAAACAACAACAAAAGTCAGACACTAAGTGGCGGAGAGTGTGCATTTGTTCCATGTGCCATGTGAGGCTTACCACCAGTGTTTGTACTGACTTTGGGAAACCAGCGGGAAGGAAAGGCCTGTTAGATTCATGCTATAGCAGCCCTCCCGCCTGCCTTCCTCTCTTCCCACTCTCCTCATCTGACCTGTGGCCTTCCTCCTGGGGGGGACTTGCCCTTGTGGGGCAGCTGCACCCCGCACCCCTTCCCAGCTTTGGTTTTCCGCAGCAGCGGAGCAGTTTTAGTTTCTGCCTCAGGCACTTCCCCTCCCCTCTGTCCGGTGTTCTCATTTGTTCTGGGCTCCACCCAAACTTATTTCCTCTTAGATGTTGTGGGACTTTTGCAGAGATGGGTCATTTGAGGAATAAGTCATGTGCCCAGTCACAGGGCTCCCTACAGGAAATAACCACAGCCTGTTAGGTTAGCCAAGGCCAAGACCAAGCCCGTGGGCCTTGCCAGTGGCATCCAGGGTTAGCAAGCCAATGCTGTTCTTTTCAACATAGACTTCTGGAGGTTTAGCCCAGTATCAAACTTCTGCAGATTTTTGCTTGTGAGGCATATATTAAAATCTGAGTGACAATCTAACATGTTAAGGTCATGACAGGAAACCTGTTGTGGCTGCATCCCGTTCACTGCATGCAGGTTTCTCATGTGAATGGCTCGTGTCCTGGCTGTGGCAGGCGTCTAAGGAGTCAAGTAGGAGATGGCAAATCTGAGTCTCTCCTTCTGTCACTCTTTGAAATAAAGCTCTTTAAAAAAAAAATCAGAGGGGAAATGATTTTTGTTTGAAAGACAGATTACAGAGAGAGGGAGAGACAAAGATTTTCCATCTGCTGGTTCACTCCCCAAGTGGCCACAGTGCCCAGAGTTAAGCTGATCAGAAGCCAGGAGCTTACTCAGGATCTCCCATGTGGGTATAGCGGCCTAAGGACCTGAGCCATCCTGCACTGCAAAGCACTGGTTCACTCCCCAAGTGGCCATAATGATTGGAGCTGAACCCATCCACACCCAGGAGCTTCTTCTGGGTCTCCCTTGGGGTTGGGGGGAGGGCACAGGATCCCAACGTCTTCAGTCATCCTCCACTGCTTCCCCAGATCACAAACAGGGAGCTGGAAGGGAAGTGGAGCAACAAGGATTCGACCCAGTGCCCATATGGGATCCTAGTGCATGCAAGGCAAGGACTTTAGCACGGGACTATTGTGCCGGGCCCCAAAATGGAAATTTTAAGGTGGAAATAATTCTCATATTCAGTGAGGAGCCCCTGCATCTGGCTATAAAAGACTGAGTGCTATGTAGTTGCTATTTTGTTGCTCCTGGCCAAGAAACCAATCCAGATGACAGGCTTAATCCAACCGTCAGTAATTGGGCACTTAATACCACCAAGCTGTAAAGGTAAAGACTATAGTCTACAGGTTTTGTTTTTGTTTTGTGTAGACTAGAGGCTAAGCAAGCAGGGACTCCTAAGTAAAGCTGCTTGGATGTGTATTTTTGCTCAGGCACTTTCTGGCAGTTCTTCCAGATCTCAGTATTATCTGTGAAATATGGGTGTTCTGTCTGTATATGGTCTTGTTGAGCATGTGTCTGTACCTGTACTGCCTGTCACATAGGAAGCCACTGGTGGGTGTTGGTTGATACACCAGCTACTTTGAGAGAGTTGCAGAGAGCATTTCCACTTGATCTTCCCTGTAGGTGTTATAGCCATAGCTTGTTCAGGGCTAAAGTGAGAATGAACCCATGAGCACACTTTCACAGCAGGTAACAGTCCAACACAAACTTTAATTAATCAAGGGTAGTCACCAGTGCCTCCCATCTAGCTGTGCTGCCCCTCAGCAACACTTGCTACTCGTGTGTTGGGCAAAAAATAGCCCGACTGCTCACTGCAGCAGCAACCATGTCATTTTCGTCCTTGGGAGGCTGGAAGTAATAGAGCTCTTGACCTCCACTGGGCAGTCTGGCACTGCCAGCCATCAGCCAAACCGAATTACAGAGTTTAATATCTGTGCACATGGAATCCACTGGCCTAATGACCCCAGGTCCTGTATAGTTTTAACATTCTCTTCTAGTCTCAATTTTTCATTTTTCATTTTTTTTTCTAGAGATTTCAGAGTTAGAATGGGGAGAGACAAAATCTTCCATCTGCTGGTTTACTCCCCAGGTGGCCATGATGCTTTTGGCTGGGCCGGGCCAGGCCAAAGGCAGGAGCCTGGAACTTCATTGTGAATGGTAGGGGACTGGCCGCTTGGGCCATCTGGTCCAGGGAGCAGGATTGGAAGTGCTGGGACTTGAATTGGCACCCATGTGGGATGTGGCAGCTCTACCTGTTATACCACAGTGATGGCCCTTCATTTTATTTTCAGTATAGGTTACTAAAGAGACATGAATTTTGTAGCTGTTACTGATTAAGAAAACGGCTTTGACACACTGATTAGGGAAATCTGAAAAAAAATCTGGATATAGTTTCTAGACCCAGCTTGCTGATATCAATTCTCTCCCTGTGTCTTTTACTAAAGCAAAGATCCCTCTTTGTAAGGCTCTTCCAATATCATAAAACTTGGTGTCAGCAGTTCTTTCCCAGAGTGGATTTTCGTGTTTTAAGAGTTACTTAGAATTTCTCAAGGTGCCCTGGTGGGTATTTAGTACTCCTTTGCAGTAGCCCTTCTCTACCATCTTATTCGTGCCTCAGGAATAAAAACTAAAACCTGAAGGAAATTTTAAGTAAGTGAGCCATAGAGCAAAGAGTAACAAGAAATGATGGGGAGAAGATAATCCAGTGTGGGATAGACTCCTGAGTGGTGATGGTTCACACACACATACACTCTTGTAAACTTTAAAGAAAATTCCACGTGTACAGTCATGTTTTCTAAACCCTACTTTTCATAAGCCAGTGACTTGGAGTGCATGCTTTAGTTTCTATATTCTGTTAAACAAGTGTGAAATTCTTTTCAAACACATTAATGAGTAAGATTTGTAACTGCCCTTTAGTGATTTCTGCCATCTCCCGAACATTAATGGACCAAGGGGTGATTGCAATGGATAACTGTATGTTTATAGGGTTTTTTCAATGGGCAGGTTCATTCAGTGGAATTCATAGTGCTCTTCTGGAACATTGGATGTGTGCTCTCATTCAGATTCCCTTTATTATTTCCCCTCCGTCAACAACATCATAATGTAGATTAAGTGATGTGAGCCATCTTGACCATGATCTATCTCCCATTTTTTTGTTTCAAACATAGGACATGGATTTGATTGACATTCTTTGGAGGCAAGATATAGATCTTGGGGTAAGTCGAGATGTGTTTGACGTCAGTCAGCGGCAAAAGGAGTATGAGCTGGAAAAACAGAAACAACTTGAAAAAGAAAGACAAGAACAACTCCAAAAGGAGCAAGAGAAAGCCTTTTTCGCTCAGTTACAACTAGATGAAGAGACTGGCGAAATCCTCCCAATTCAGCCAGCCCAACACATCCAGTCAGAAATCAGTGGATCTGCCAACTACTCCCAGGTAGAGTATTCAGGTCTTGAGAAAGACCATGGCAGGGCTTAAGGAGACACTGACCAGGGAATTAAAGTATTTTTGCATTCTGGTTTTGCCTCTTAATATCAAAATGTCCCTGTCAGCTTCCTGATGAGTTCAATAGCTGATAAACTCTCCTTGCAGTGATTACAAGGAGAGCTTTGGAAAGGATAGAAACATCCTGTTAGGACCAAACAGCAGCAACAGAACTAGGGGCAGCAGCAGGGATTCCTTACAGTACTATGGCTGCTTGAAAATCCTACATTAATGGACTTGATCAAAATGACTGTGTGGAGTAGGTGCCATTATCCCCATCCCGTCTACGGAAGAGCAGTGAAGCTCAGCAAGGCTCATTTGCCCAGACCACTCAAGAAATTGGGGTAGCTATGATTTGATGCCAGGTAAGCTGGTTCAAGTCTGTGCACCAAAATGATTTCTTTAGATTTACTTAACCAGATCATAAACATTACGTGAACATTGGACATGAACCTTAAATAGTCAGTCTTGACCTTTGCAATGGAACACTTAAATGATTTTTCCTTCCTTTTGATCCAGGTTGCCCACATTCCCAAACCAGATGCTCTGTGCTTTGATGACTGCATGCAGCTTTTGGCAGAGACATTCCCGTTTGTAGATGACAATGAGGTATGAAACACCTGAGTAATAGCACAACTCCATAACTACATTGAGCATAAACTGGAGATATCCCTTTATTGTGTTTAAAACAATTTTTGAAATTAGGTAATTTATCAAAGAAACCTTAGCAGATGGGTCATCTTTAACAAAAAGACCCAAAACCTTTACCTCCGCATAGCCATTAGCATCAGACAACACAATGGAAGCAATTCACTTCACTATAGGTATCTAGAAATGTGTTGGATAGCCAAGTGAAGAGCAAGCTGGGTAATAAACCAAGGCTTCACATTTTCTGATACTACTGTATTTTGAGGCACTGTGCTAAATACTATCCTAACACTCTGCTTACCCATTTAGATCTTTACCTTTGGATACATGATAAAAACAAAAAAGAAGATAGTGCCTTGCAGCCTGCTCATCTATTATCGATGGCACTCATGTAGGTGAATTCTTTGTCAATTTTAGGTTTCTTCAGCTACATTTCAGTCACTTGTTCCTGATACTCACAGCCACATTGAGAGCCCTGTCTTCATTGCACCTAACCAGGCTCAATCAGCTGAAACATCTTATGCTCAGGTAGCCAGTGTTGATTTAAACAATATGGAACAGAACGTTGAACAAATTTGGGAGGAACTATTATCCATTCCAGAATTACAGGTAACTAAAATCTATTGTGATACTGGACATGTTGTTTTATATTCAGCACCTTTAAATTAGTGATTCTGGTTATTAATTATTTACATACCACCTACTTAAAGGATTAGAGAGTGCTTTTAAATTACTCATGAGCAAGCCAGCCTTGTGGCTTAACAGGTGCAACAACGGCATCTCACATGGGCACCAGTTCGTGTCCTGGCTGCTCTATTTCTGCTCCAGCTTTCTGCTGGTGGGCTGGGATAGTGGAGGATAATGTGGGTGATCTGGATGGAGTTACAAGTTCTTGGCTTCAGCCTTGCCCAGCCCTGGTCTTTGTAGCTATCTGTGGAGATAGCAGATGGAATATATCTGTCTCTTTCAAATAAATGAGTAAAAAAGTAAAATTGTTTTTCATGAGAGATGCCCACACTCACTTAAGATGTACTTTTATTAAATAGACTGGTTATCTTGAGGACAAAACATTGTAAATCAAATCTGATGCAGAAACTCTGAAAACTATATCTTATAGTATCCTTGTCTAGTGGAAATGGGAATTATGTCTGAATCACAGAATACTTTGGAGAGAATGGGGACAGTTTCCCTTCATCAACCAACAGCTATGGATTATCAGCTATTAAAAGTAATTAACTTTGATTTATGTCATACAAATTTCTTTCCCATTCAGTGCCTTAATATTGAGAATGACAAGTTGGTTGAGACTACCGCAGTTTCAAGCCCAGACGTCAAAATGACAGAAATTGACCATAATTATCATTTCTACCCATCGGTTCCCTCGCTGGAAAAAGAAGATAACTGTAGTCCACATTTTCTTAATGCTTTTGAGGATTCCTTCAGCAGCATCCTCTCCACAGATGACCCCAACCAGCTGCGAGGGAACTCCTTAAATTCAGATGCCACATTAAGCTCAGATTTCGGTGATGAATTTTATGCTGCTTTCATAGCTGAATCCAGCAGCAGCACCAGCATGTCCACCTCTGCTACCATCAGTCAGTCACTCTCTGAACTTTTAAATGGGCCCATTGATGTTTCTGATCTGTCAGTTTGTAAAGCTTTTAACCAGAACCCCCCTAAAAGCACGGTAGAATTCAATGATTCAGACTCTGGCATTTCACTCAACACGAGTCCCAGCATGGCATCACCAGAACACTCAGTGGAATCTTCCTTCTATGAAGACACACCACTTGGCTTCAGTGATTCTGAAATGGAAGAACTGGACAGTACCCATGGACATGTCAAACAGAATGGGTCTAAAACACAGCCGGTGCATTCTTCTGGGGATACAGTGCAGCCCCTGTCACCATCTGGGGGCCACAGTGCACCAGTGCATGATGCCCAATGTGAAAACACACCAAAGAAAGAAACGGCTGCAAGTCCTGGTCACAGAAAAACCCCATTCACAAAAGACAAACATTCAAGCCGCTTAGAAGCCCATCTCACGAGAGATGAACTGAGGGCAAAAGCTCTCCATATCCCATTCCCTGTAGAGAAAATCATTAACCTCCCTGTTGATGACTTCAATGAAATGATGTCCAAGGAACAATTCAATGAAGCACAACTTGCATTAATCCGAGATATACGTAGGAGAGGTAAGAATAAAGTAGCCGCTCAGAATTGTAGGAAAAGAAAACTGGAAAATATAGTAGAACTGAAGCAAGATTTAGACCACTTAAAAGATGAAAAAGAAAAATTGCTCAAAGAAAAAGGAGAAAATGACAAAAGCCTCCATCTGCTGAAGAAACAGCTCAGCACCTTGTATCTCGAAGTTTTCAGCATGTTACGGGATGAAGACGGAAAGCCCTACTCACCTAGTGAATACTCCTTGCAGCAAACAAGGGATGGCAATGTATTCCTTGTTCCCAAAACTAAGAAGCCAGATGTTAAAAACTAGATTTGGTATTATTTGGCCTTTTCTGAGTTAGTGTTTCTTTTTTGTACTGTTATACTAAAAGCTCCTACTATGATGTGAAATGCAGAAAATACTTTATAAGTAATTCTATGCAAAATTATAGCCAAAAACTATTATAGAAAATGAGACTTTTTAAAGCATTAAAATATCAATGTTGAATCAATAGTTTAACCATAATTTTTTAGGACACCATTTGGGTTAGTTTCTGTGTAAGTGTAAATACTACAAAACTTATTTATACTGTTATCTCATTTGTTACTTCATAAATTTATACGATGATAATATGACATCTGGCTTAGCAAATTTCTGCAAAACTAACCACTGTGTACTTTTTTTATAAATACTGTATGAACAAAAAATGGCATTTTTATATGAAATTATTCAGTTGTGGCAAAAAAATTTAGAGGTGGTACTAATAAAAGAATGTTATGTCTGTTAAAGTATTTCTTTGGATTTATTCACACAGTATTTTCCATAAGACCACTTAGATGTTTCAGTTCAGAACATTTTTTTTAATATTTTTTTAAAAGCACTTAATACTAAACTTCTGATACCAAGATTATAGAAAAACAATCAGATACATCTCAACCAAGGAAAAATTTTACACATCTATATGGATGCTCAATGCATAGATGTATGCATTGAACAAGGAAAAAACCAATATTCCATCCTCACACTTACACTGTAGTGCAAGATAGTAGCAATACAACATTGGTACAATGATTGGGAAAACATGGAAAAACCACATTAACTCAAAATAAGATTGTTACCAGAGCTGTATGGAACATTTAAAGGAGTGGCAAGCAAGCCGTGGTGATAGATAAGAACACTGAAGAAAGGACACAGCAAGTTCAAACACTTATTTGGGAAAACATGTGGGCACTGTGGCTGAAGATAGAGGCTGGGACATGGCAGAAGCCCTCGCTGCCTAGGGCACCACCGGCTAGTAAAGAAAAGCAATGTGGTGCTGTGGGAGTGGGCATCTGGCACAGCAGCTAACATGATCCCAGACAGACTTGCAATGTCCATTCAAATCCCAGCTAGGCTGGTTTGTTTGGTTTGTTTTTAATATGTCTTATTGGAAAGGCTGGTTCACTACCCAAGCAGTCATCAATGGATGAGTGGTCATTTGCTAGATTGAGCAGATCCAAAACGAGGAGCCAGGAGTTTTGGTTCACGCGTATTTCAAAAGTAGAATTAAATGGGCCTAACAGCACAGCTTAGTGGCTAATGTCCTCACCTTGCATGCACTGGGGTCCCCTATGGACACCACTTCACTTCCTGATTGCCTCATTCCCCATCCAGCTCCCTGCTTGTGGCTTGGGAGAGCATTAGAGAATGGCCCAAAGCCTTGGGACCCTGCATGCACCCAAAGGGGAGACCCAGAAGAAGCTCCTGGCTTCAGCTCTGGCTATTGTGATCACTTGGGGAGTGAAACAGTATATGGAAGATCTGTCTGTCCTCTGTAAAAGCCTTTCCAAAAAAAAAAAGGAACACACACAAACAAAAAACCTTAAAAATGGCCTTGTAGAACTACTGCTATGGAAAGAGAATCAAAGGTACCGGGGGGGGGGGGGGGGGCCTGTTACGGTAGATAGTTGGAGATGGGAAAATGGGCATTTCCTCTGGAAATCGGACATACCATCTACAGCATTAACGCAGGGAGACATGTAAATTATTGAGTCCTGATAGTCCACTTAGAAATATAGAGGTCCACCAGCCCTAGAAGTAACTATTTGGGCTTACTGTCAGTTCCCACAAGCAGTAGCAACTCTTTTATTCTCCTAGGATTGTTTCCATATCTGCAAAAAGTGTATTAACCAATGCACAGAAAAATGAACCGATGCACAGAAATACATCAGGTCTAGCATATGGAATGGTGTATCAACATTCTTTAACCTCTTATTCTATTTTGGTTACAAGCAAAACAAAGTTAAATCAGCTTGAAAGATTTTGATTCAGATCACTGAAAAGAGTTGAAAATGGGTAGAATATTTTGTTGTTTGTTGTAATTTCCAGGGGCCTACACTGTACCCCAGTGGATTCAGCTGATGCCAAGGATGCCGTTAACCCAGTATCAGATGTCAGCTTCAGCCTGGCTGACACACTTAAAATTCAGTTCCCTGCTAATGCAGTTAGAAAGCAGCGTAATATAGCATAGATGGTTGCACGAGTTCTAACTTCTTCTAGCTTGGGCCTATTCCAGCCTCTGCTGTTGCCTTTTGGAGAGCAACTTGTCCCTCCCTAGCATTGGTGTCAAATTAATCTTTGGTAGTTATTTAAGAATTCCCACGTTGGGCCCAGTGCAGTAACCTATTGGATGAAGTCCTTGTTTTGCATGCGGTGGGATCCCAATGTGGGTGCAGCTTTGTATCCTGGCTGCTACACTTGCCATCAAGCTCCCTGTTTGGGACCTGGGAAAGCAGTTGATGGCCCAAAGCTTTGTTACCTGTGCCTGCTTGGGAGACCTGGAGGAGACACCAGGCTTTTCAGATCAGCTCAAGCTGTTGGGAACGCTTGGGGAATGAACCAGTGGATGGTAAATCTGCCTCTCCTATCTGTAAATCTGACTTTTCAAAAACAAATTTTGAAAAAAATGGACCCCACATGGTGGCCTAGTAGCTAAAAGTCCTTGCCTTGAATATGCCAGGATCCCATATGGGCACTGGTTCTAATCCCAACAGTTCCACTTTCCATCCAGCTCCCTGCTTGTGGCCTGGGAAAGCAGTCGGAGACTGGCCAATGCATTGGGACCTTGCACCTGCATGGGAGACCTGGAGAAAGTTTCTGGCTCCTGGCTCCGGATTGGCATAGCACTGCCCATTGCGGTCACTTGGGGAGTGAATCATCACAAAGAAGATCTAACAGTTCCTCTTCTCTGTATATCTGACTTTGCAATAAAAATAAATTTAAAAAATTAAAATCCCCTTTTCAAAACTCCAAATACAATGTTCATCCTCAGGCAAAACCCCAAATAGAAATTTGGTGGCAAGAATTTGAGTATTTGGGTCTGGTGCAGTAGCTCAGTGGCTAACGTGCTCACCTTGCATGCACTGTAATTGCATATGGGTGCAGGTTCTAATCCTGGCAGCCCCACTTTCCATCCAGCTCTCTGCTTGTGGCCTGGGAAAGCAGTTGAGGAAGGCCCAAAGCATTGGGACCCTGCACCTGCGTAGGAGACCCAGAAGCTCCTGGAGTCTGGATCATCTCAGCTATGACTGTTGCGGTCACTTGGGGAGTGAACCATCAGATGGAAGATATTCCCATCTCTCCTAATAAAAATAAATTTTAGTATCAACCCTATCAGGAGTATAACATTGAAGTTGGTTTTAACATTAATTTGAAAGGCAGAGTAAGGTCTTCCGCTTAAGTTAAACTCAAGTTAACACTAATGGGCCAGGCGAAAGCCAGGTCTCCCATGGTGGGTGCAGAGGTCCATGTACTTTGGTCAGCTCCTAGTGCTTTTCTAGGACCACTAGCAGAGACCTGTATTTGAACCAGGCACCAACATGGAGTGCCTGCATTGCCGGTGGGGAATTCTATCAGCTGTACCAAACAGACCCCAATGCTAAGAATCGTTAACTGCATCACACTGATTACATTGGAACCCATCTTCTCAAACCTCTGAGCTAAAGCAGCTCATACCTCACACCCTATTCCTGTGACTAGTACTCAGAGTATGGACATCTCAAAGCTTCTTGTCACAGGTGTTTCAATTTTCATTAGATGGTACTACACTCGGAAGAAAACTACCATGTAATTCCAATTCTGTGTGGGAAAAAACCTTACAAAACTGGCATTAACCAAAATTTTCTGTGAATTTAGAAATACTTCAGGATACTCTTAAAGTCAATATGCATCACTACTAACAACTATCATGATTAATCTCCTAAGTTCTTTATCACATGTAATTCTCAGATTCAGACAGGTAGTCTCCATTTTACATAAAAGAAAATCAGGCAAAAAAGCTAATTACTTTGATAGAATTTGTCTAGGAATTTTATAAGTCACTTGTTGACATGAATAAAACAGCACTCAAAAAGTTCAGGCAACAAATTGCAATGATAGTCACAGTATCTGTGACATCAGTTCGTAGCACAATTTTAATCAGATGATTACACATCTTAACATTTATGCAAAACTTAAGTCAGACCCAATTTTTAATTTCTAAAACACTACTGATTCTACTGCTGTATTGCCACCATGCTTAATTCTGTAACTCATACATTAAAAACTGACATTCTGAAAGACGTGCTGAAACTGCTAACAAGAAGCATCAACCTTGGGAATTACAAGTAACTTGTTCAAATTCAAATTCATTTCCACCCACCTGTCTGTTGGGCAAAATCTGACTAAAAATCTCTTCGCAGACCCTAAGCATACAACTTGGCAAAACCCTTTTTCTTGGGAGCCACAGATTTACAGGTTTTAGGCTTGTTGACTTGTCTGACAGCCTGCTGCATTGCAAAGCCTGCCTTGGGCAAACAGGGCCACCCCAAGCAGGACATTGCGGCCAAAACATCCCATGCAACATGCAGTACATGAGCAGGCCATAACCTCTGCCTTTGTTCCTGTTCAGATGTTTCTATTCAAGTTTCCTTCCCTGCTTTTAACGTAGTCTTAGGAAACTCCTCCCTTTCTCCTCCTTCCCTAGAGAAAAAAGTATATATAAGGGAAAAAAAAGGCATTGGCACTTTCACCAAGTGCGTGTGTCCGTGTTTCTTGGGCCAGCAGCCCAGCATTCCCAATCCATTCTCATGGTTTGTCATGTCCTCCAGGCTGGAACACCTTTTGATGTTAAGGGCCACACACCTAACATGGAGCACAACCTGGACTGACACATATGTACCTGTATTCCACCCATCTTATTGCTCATTGAACACAACAGCTGTGCACATAAAACATTACTTAAAAACAAAACCAATCATTCACATTATCAATAAACATTAAGGGTAGAACCTCATTTCCTGATTTCTAGAACTCTTACGTGGGTCTGAACACTAGAACAGAACTTTCCACCTACCCATCCACCACTTCGTAGAGGATTCCAACAGCTAAAACGGGGCTGGATAAAGCCCCGGATAGTAGTCTGCATTCCCTACCCAGGTCTCCTATGGGGATGCCAAGGATTCATTTACTTGAACCACCATCTGTTTCTCACAATCGTTAACTTGCTGTGCCTATTCATTCTACATTCTTTAAGCCGTAATCCTTTAATATATGAACAGCATCATATAACTGGAACATAGCACACCCAACCAACTCACTGAGATGCCCATTTTCACAAATGAAACCACTCACCTTCAGAAGTCGATAAATGCATACCGTGGGCATGATAACCTATTCCCCAAAGACAGCTTTTTCAGTTTGAAGTGTATTAAACACATTCACAGTGGAGGAAATAAAGTCCACTCATTTTCTGAACTCAAAAATCCATCAAACTGTCAAGACAATTCCTTACAAATCCATGGTTAATGTGACTGGAGTTTTGTAAAAATAGATGTTAACTCCTTGCACTTGCTTCAGCAACACATATACCAAAGCTGAAAAGTTAACTCCCCCCAAAGTTCCCTTTGGCTTATTCACCAAACAGTATGCAATACACTGCTGTGGCTTCAAACCCAACCAAATTTGCAAGTTCACATCACCCCTAAAAATGATTAACCTGTTTTTATGAAAACACTTCTCCCACTCACCTTTCACCAGATCAACTGTCAATGAAACCCTTCCTATACTTCAGCAATACTTAAATATCTTCTAAGCCCACTTGCCTAAACAGCCTTACACTTTCCAGCAAAGTTCAGATTTGCCAACACTGACACAGCTCATGCCAAGACCAAGCCCTCATGAGCAACATAAATTGAGTCTCACATGCCTCTACTCCTTTTAGATTGCGCTAAATCGATTCACACCCATATATGAACACTTAAGCAACAAAACCACACACGCGCATTTCTAAAAATACTTTAATGAAAAAGTTCAAAACATTACAGTATCCTACAAATGAAATATTTGAATCCATTACAGACCACCTTCGAAATGTTTAATCCATACATTGCAAAATTTCATTTAGATGCTAATTCCTTGTGTAATCCTGACATATTCACATGCTTTTCCACTATGTATGAACTTCAAGACACTCGATGATTCAAATTGTGACATACTTTAACTCTTAAAAACCAAACCATTCATGTAATTTTCAACATATTTTATTTTACCATACACATACTCTAGGATACATGTATTGCCAGCTTTAAAGAAATGTTTTTAAAGCCACCTGGTAAGATCAACTTCCAATTAGTTGATACTCTGCCTTGGGACAGGGTACTTGTTAGAAACGACAATGGAACATGTTTTAATAAAGTAATTTTATTTCATAAACAAATGCAATGGATTAGAAAGAGCAATACCTTTGCAAAGTCCCCTATGCTGTTAGTTCACTTAAACCATCCTTTGAGCTTCACCATGGAAACATTTACCTTATTTAACACTCCCACTGCCATGTGCAGATTGAGCCTGATTCAATCACAGAACCATCCATTTTGGCGAATAAACTATGTCAAGTGTAACTTGCAGATAATGGTACTTCCATGTATAAACAGCTTTTCTCTTAAGTGTATCCCCCCCAACAACACTTTTTTAAAAAGTAACATTTTAAAAAAAGTATTAAGACTTAGGATCAGCAACTAAACTAAGTACTCTTTGGGAAAAGATCTCTTGAAAGGAGAATCGGTTGTAGGGAGACCCCCCCCACCTGCTTCCAGCTAACCAGAACAAGGACCTGAATTTGTATGAAAGTGAACTGATGTGAACAAACCACTTAACTGAAGCTTATTTTTATATTTGCACCATCTGATGGTTTGGAAGATTCATTTGGAGATTATTCCTGACATGAATATTAGCATTGTTATGTTACTCTGTAAGCCATGCTCATCACATACACTACTTTAACTTAAAAGTTGGGTTTACTTTTTCTAAAAATGGACTTCATGCTACAGATACTATTAACAATGAATTGTATGCATGAAGGGCCACGTTTAGTTATTTCTTGGCTATTGCAGGGGAACTTTTTAAATTGTCTAAGGAATATTTTACTAGACATGTGCCAAGATAGTGTAACGAAATTTGCCAATGGACCTACTAAACAGAGGGCAGTTTAAAAATTCCTAACGTAAATTTGTATGAAATAAATGGGTGTTGTTAGGTTTTACTGTGAGCTACCAACCTTACCCAGCCAGAAACCTTCGTATTTAAGATGGTAGGAAAGACATTCCTCATTTAGGCAAGTAGGGTTCTCATTCAACCTGTAAATCAAAAAGATTACTCTTACCTTGCTTTACAAAAAAGTATTCTTTAATTAGTGAAAAAATTCAAATTCAAGCCTTACCTAATGCTTATTGCCCTTCCTTGCAGGTCTAAGTGCTAGACCTAGTGACTGTAGCAACTATCTCTCATTGATGTTCCAAAGGGCGAAGAGCTCCTTCCTGCTACTTTCTTCGACATTTCAGTTGCAGTAAGATTTAACTAGCTTTTGCAAAGTTGCTCACTAGCATCATATGCCTTCACTTCTCTGTAGTTGAAGCTCTTGCTGCTGCCTTGTCATTCTTTATTTATGCTGACTTGTCCATACTCAAAAGGCTGCTGAAGTCCTGTCTTAGTGTGAGTTGCCTTTGATCCACACTGCGCTTAAATAGCACATCTTAGGTCCTTTAAAGCTGGTTAAACCGCTCTCCTCATGGCTTAACTTCTCCACTGTTCGCAACAGCTAAACTAATACAACTTATAAACAGGTCACATACACAAACTTCACCTGCTTATAGGTTGCAAACATCAACTTACTCAAAATATTTTCACTCTTAAAAACTAGTTCCAGAACACAGAAAAATTGTTAATGGTACAATTAACCTCATTATGCCATTAAAGGATACTGTCAAGGTTGTGTCAAACAGTTTCACAAACATAAAAACAGAAAATGTCAATCTCCCCCATTTTCAACCTTTATTATATGAATAAAGAACCTGAGACAATTTAGCTCGATTTTTAATAAGGTGTTTCCCAAGCATTATTTTGACCAGGTACCCAGGCTGATGAACATTGACAGTGTCCATTTATATAACCACACTTGAAATTACCAAGAATTTAACCATTTTCTAACATTAGCCTTGTTTTTCCCCACTGCTCATTCACATATGTCCATTAACACATGGAATGTTGTATTACATTTATTGGTTTGTGTGTGTTTCTGGAAAACTGCAGTATCTGTGAAGACCGATTTCCATGCTGGTATTGCATGCATCCAAATAGTAATGCACAGAGGCACAGAATTAGAGCAACGAGAGAGCATATTCAAACACTAGCACACCCCAATCCCCTTTTTATTGCTTTTTTTTTTTTTTTGCTTAGTACTGCTAAAACAAAAATCTTGGATTCAACGTTCAACTGCCAAAGGAGTGACAGCAGGGCACATAGTGAGGGTTTGAACGAAACCGTAAACACTAGCTGGCGCGGAACAGTAGACACTGGTTCATATATTATGTATCTCAGTATCTAAAATTCTTCTCAACCGAGTCTTCCATACAATCTGACACCAACATTTAGGTTGAAATGAACACAAGATGTAACAGTGTATTTGGGAACTCAAGATTTAAATTTCAATTCAGTGCTCTGAGAGAAGGTTGTACTAAGCAACTATGCTACATTTCTGCTGCATTAGGTTATTTTGGACAAATATTTCTAAACTGTACTTCGCTGGGTATAGACAGGAAAGCATGCCAGCCAGTTAAAGGTTCAATAACACATCAATTTTATTCCCACTGAGTTTGTAACCAATAAAAAAGGTAAACCAAGGAAAATAATCAGATTTAATTGGGCCTCTTATGCTTGAAAAATAAAAAAAAGTACCCAACGAATATGCTCAGATATAGCAGGCTTAGTGGTCCTATATATTTTGATGTGTTTCAGAATGGTTTTTTAAGATAAGAGTGGAAAAACACCTACTATCCCATCCCAAAATTTAAATAGAGGGCAGTAGACATTCTTTATACCCCCAACTATGGCAGCAGTTCAAATGTGACCAAGGTAAAATGTAGAATGGAAATGTTCTTAACACAACTAGGACTCGGCAAAATCTAACACACTAAAATCATATGATTACATTTTGAAAGAAAATGCACAAAACCAAAGAGGAATTCTGAGATTTTTCATTTGAAGTAATCTTAACGCTATTAAATTCACAAATATGCTAATTTAAATACCCAATCCTATTTATCTAAAACACACATTGCAAACATACAAATATCTATTCTCTCCACATGTCAGTGCCCATTCATATCATGGTTTGGAATGGGGAGAATAGATTCCCCTTAACCCGCAAGTCAGTAGGTGTTTCTTTACAGTTAACATTAGCAAAATTCATACAAAATAGTAATTAACAATGATCTTCTTTACTTGTTAACTCACAAGGAAACACCTTCAAAACTGCATTGTGTTAAAGTTTCTGTACTAAAATGTAGAAAAACTGAACTACACAAATATTGAAAAGTTAAAAATTCCTTAATTTTTTATTCCTGGTACCACTACCACAATTTACAGGGCAATATACCTGATGTAATGAAAAGAAAAAGAAAAGACAAAGCTACAACAGATAAAAGACCTCAGGAATGTACATCTAATTGACACTACATTGCATTAATCAATAGCTGCACTTTTTGCAAACTGTGGCTATGACAGTCCTGAACAAGAAGGGTTTCCTGTTTAAGCTGCAGTAACTTTTCTGACTATGGATCATCGTTCCTCCTGTGGCAGATTTTTACAGTTCCTCTAATGCATTTGGGACGACTGTCTCAAAGTAACCTGCAGCTTTCCTGACAACTCCTCGCTCTCTCTCCTGCTAAGAACTGTAGCCTGTTGAATAATACAGGATAAAAAAATTATTACACTCAGTGAACATCATCGCATTTCAACATCAACATATAAAAGGAAAAAAATTAAAAGATACCTACCCTTTTCTGCTGTATTTAGAACCTTCTGCTACCATATCCACCACTTCCACCACCAGATCCATAACCACCTGGAAACAGGAATGCGCAATTGAATATATATTATATGATTTTTTTAAATTAAAAAGGATCTAAACAATTTTAGTGAAGCAAAAAAACCTCTTACTTACCACCATAAGGACTGCCCGAGCTTCTCCCACCAAAACTGCCCCCTTTCATGGGCCCATAATTTGATTGCTGTTGTCCACTGTAATTTCCAAAATCATTGTAGTTTCCACCACCACCATAGTTGCCTGAAATCACAAAGGTTTTGTGATTTATACACACAATAATTGTTGGTGCACTTATACCACATGTAAATAATTTAATACAGCTACTCAACTCATTCCATTCCAAATTCAAGGACCCTATCAGATTGCAAACATAGGTAGAACAAAAGAGCATGATTTACAAACCTTATACATAAATGTTAGATGTCAGGATTATTACAAGAACATGGTATTCTTATCACATGCAGTATAGCAAGTATATGCTCTTTCTGTCCACCTATATTCATAACTGTTAGCCAACATAGGGAGTCTGATGAGTGCCAACTTTAAAGCAGCACAGAGCCAAACATCTTAAATTGAGACTCACATCACCATCACTAAGGTATAATTATTGCTAACAACGTATCATCTGCATCATCAGTAACATCCAAGTACTAACACCTAAAGTACTTTTAAGCTATCCAAGGCGGCACCCTATTAATAGTATTCAATTTACAGTTCCAATTTGTCCAGTTTAAAAATGGTTCTAAATCAATCTCCAAAAAAAATCACTGAAGTATAAAATGTACTGAATATTAGTAAATGCTCACTAACCACAGAAACTGACATTTCACCAATTTACTTTATAGCCAAAAAGTTAAGATTTCATTCAATCAGGCACTGTTCAGTATTACAGGATACCTTTTCAAATGTTTACAATTATAAATAAACTGACACTAAAGATTTAAACAAGTAAAAGTGGTTCTGGCATAGCAAGCTGATGCCTGTAGTACCAGCATTCCGTATGGGTGCTATTTCTAGTCCGGCTGCTCCACTTCCAATCCAGCTACACACTAACAGTGAAAGCATAGCCAATGATGGCCCTGGCCCAAAGTACTTGGGTGCCTGCACCCCCTTAAGTTCCTAGTTCCCAGCTTCAGACCGGCCCAGCTCTGGCCTTTTCAGGAGTAAGCCAGCAGATAGAAAATACGCCTTTCCCAACTCTGTCAACTAAAGTAAATATCCTTAAAAAAGTTAAAGCTATTACCTCCAAAATTTCCTCCTTCATTGTAACCATCATATCCTCCTCCTCCACCATATCCACCACCTTGGTTTCCATATCCTGGTCCACCACCACCATAGCCTCCCCTGCTACTGTAACCAGGACCACCACCATAGTTGCCACCTGAAAAAATAAGGCCATACAGAAACACTTAACATATACAGGAGCAAGGTACTTAAATATTTATGTCACTGGCAAATATGCAGAGTTATCTAATACTGTAAAGCCTGGTGACAGACTGTTAGTAGCAATAATAAAGTTAGATCAGTTTTTTACCAAAAAAAAAAAAAAAAAAAAAAACCAACAAACCTAAAACAGCAAGACTTTGAGTACAACTGCTAGCACAATTTTGTTGGCTACAAAGGACTGCTGATTTTGTCTGAAGAAAGCCTATGCTCTGACAACAGTTCAGTCTATTATCAGGACATTCAAGCACTGACTAAGAATGCAAAGCTAAAAATATCTTTCAATATAGTAAACATGGTCAAAATAGCAATTAAACTTACCATCACCTCCAAAACCATTATATCCACCATCACCTCCTCCGTAACTTCCTCTGCTGCCACCACCACCACCACCATAACCTCCTGAGGAAAAAGTAGAAACTGAAATTATACATCCAACTTAGCATTACATCTTAGGCACATATGTACTCAAAAATGATAAAAACATCCTACCTCTTCCACCAAAGTTTCCACCACGGCCAAAATTACCTCCACCACCTCCAAAGTTTCCTCCACGACCCATAAAGTTGCCAGATCCACCTCCACGGCCTTAATAAAGGCAAAGAAGAATTTGAAGAATTTGAAGCCTCACAAAACACCACTCCCTCCAACCTATTGTGAATGTGTTCGTGGTTCTACTCACCTCTCGGTGATCCAGCAGCAGACTGCATCTCTTGTTTAGAAAGGGCTTTTTTCACTTCACAACTATGACCATTAATAGTGTGGTATTTCTGAACTGAATTTTTTTTAACCAAACAAACAAAAAAGTGTTACTTCATGTGTGGGAAAACAAATATAACCATATCCTTTGTCATTACACAACACACTGAAACATTATGATGAAGGCAGTAAACTCTGGAGTTGGGGAAAAACGGAGAGCCTTAGGTTGTATATGTTCTTTCCTTGCTCCAGATGTTGGTTACACAGAAGTAGACTTTATGAAACTGAGTGTTACTCTTTGTATGCTACTGAACACAAAACTGCAAGTAATTCGTCAAAATAAACTTAGTTCTGCTTCATACAAGTCCTGATAAATTGCTACTTACCAACAATTTTATCAACTGTATCATGATCATCAAAAGTTACAAAAGCAAATCCTCTTTTTTTGCCACTCTGCCTATCTTCCATAACTTCTATGGTTTCAATCTTGCCATATTTTTCAAAGTAGTCTCTCAAATTATATTCCTCTGTATCTTCTTTAATACCACCAACAAAAATTTTCTTCACTGTTAGATGGGCACCAGGCTTTACCGAATCCTACAAACAAAGTACATTAAGTCAAAAACAAAACAAAACTGCACACTCACAATTTCACATACAACCCAGTGTGAAAATACCTCTCTAGAAACAGCTCTCTTTGGTTCCACAACACGCCCATCAACCTTGTGTGGTCGAGCACACATTGCTGCATCCACCTCTTCAACACAAGAGTAAGTCACAAAACCAAACCCCCTGGAACGTTTTGTTTGGGGATCTCTCATTACCTATAAAATAAAAAAATGTAAAGCATTGAAATTCATCTCCATGCGCACTCTATCCCCTCCTTGAGTCTTTATCACCCCAGTAACTTACCACACAATCTGTCAGTGTGCCCCATTTCTCAAAATGTTCTCTCAAGCTATCATCTGTAGTTTCAAAGCTCAGACCACCAATAAACAGTTTCCTCAACTGCTCTGGTTCCTTTGGATCATGACCCTAAAGGGGAGGAAAAAAAAAACCCGTAATTACTTCATGCAACCAACCAAGATAAACCTTAAACTAAGACTCAAACCCTGTAACACAATTTCTCCAGTAAGTTTTGACTGACTCCAACTGTCTGAGGGATTAACATGGGGACTAACATGTCACCAGAAAAACCATAGCCAGCATTTCCTCTCACTTTGAAAAGATGAAAATTCAGGAATCAAACATCTTTAAGCTACAAATCTGAGCCTGGGACATCCTTTATCTTGGTTGCACTCAAATCATTTTTTAAAAATATTCCCAAAGCAGTGCTGCATCAATCTTCATCAACGATCTTCTCAGCCTACACTCCAACAAGCATTTAACTTTCAATCACAAAGCTGAATCCCAAATTTATGTCAAGACAAAGTACAGAAACACCGATTCCCACCAATTTGACAAAATGTCCCTAAATAAGCCCGCATGACTCCAAAATACCTGTACTACGCTATTTGTACATTCTGCAAAAATTACCTACTTATATTTACATGGCAAGTAATGTCAAATACGTTCATTTTGGGGGGCAAAAAGTGTCAATAAGCACCGAAGGACACCCATCTCCAAGTTCATCGTCCCTTCCAGCCCCCCCCCCAGCAGGGCCCACAGCTTCAGCTGCTCTGGGCTAAAACCGGAAGTCTCCCACGTGGCTGGTGGCAATTCCAGGGAGCCATCTCTTGCCACATAAGCTACAGCTGCAGTAAAGGACTCGAGATGGAGGGGAATGAAATTCAGTCGTTTGAGGCACGCGAGTTCCCGTTTTAAAATCACAGAAGACTAGCAATTTAACAAGTATATTTACTGCCTTGTTGAAAGAATGGAGCAGTTACAACAAAAATTGAAATTTAAAAGAGGTCTTGAAACTATGCTATGCTTTCAGATTTCGTTAATAAGATAAACTCCCAATTAATATTCCCTCTCAGAGAAGGTGTACTTTTAATGTCTAATGTCTTCCTGTGGCCTCAAAGAATGGAGATGTTAACAGCTTAAAAGATAGAAAAAAGTCTAACAATAACCTAAGGCATTAATTCATTAGCCTCATCTTGAAGTCTGACAAACTGCACCAGATCAAAGAAATTAAATCCACGTAAAATTAAAAGCACCAAAATTTTCAACTGTGGTTATAGTCCTCACAAGACGCCAGAACACTAGAGCCAACTCCAAAAAAAAAAAAAAGGGAAACCCAAAGACTTTTTCTTGGTTTCTGTTCTCACATTTGCAAAGATTATAAAAAGTAACTCGCCCACTTCGACGAGTCCATTATTCTGAATACGATCACAAAAAAAAAAATCGTGAAGGGTTTGTTTTCTTTTAGTCGGCGCACTTAAAAAGTAAAAAACCTCCTTCAGATGGGTGCTGCGAATAAACGCGTCTCCCGGGCCTTGGGGGCGCAGCCTGGCGCCCCGAGCGAAGATGGCGAGGCCGTTGGCGCCATCTTCGGCCGGGCCGCCACCGCCGCCGCCCGCTTCCTTCGGCTCCTCGCGCGCGCGCGCGCGCCCGGGCCGGCCGCCATTGCGGGCCGCTGCGCCATTTCGCAGCGCGGCGGCGTCTCCATGTCGTGGCCGGCAGCCGCCGCCCGCCCGCCCGCCCGCTGGCCCGGATGTGCCTGCTCGCGCCCGCCCCTCCCCCACCGCCTCCTCCCAACCGCTGCCGCCCGGGGCCCGCCATGCCGCCCTCGGCCTCGCTTCCCCGGGCGCCGCGAGGCCGGCGGGGCCCGCTCCCCGCCCCGAAGCCACCCCAGCCACGCCGCCTCTCCTAGCGGGTCCCCCGACCCCGGCCCCTGCTCGGCCCAAAAAGCGAAAGCGAGGAGAGGGAGAGCCCCCCGAAGCGGCCTCCGGCGCCCGCTGCCTTCCCCTCCCCCGCCCACCGTCCGTCTGGAGCGCAGAGCGCGGGACGGCCGCCTTCGTCTCCCCGGCCTCCCCGCTCCCACCGAGCCAGGTTCCCCCGCGCCGGCCACTACCCGTCAACCCCCCGCTCTCCCCCTAATACCTCCTCCCCCCGGCGGCGGCGGCGACGGCCGGAGTCGGGCTGGGGGCGACCGGGCGGCTGTTTTACCTCCATTTTGAGACCGGACTCGCCTCTTCCAACTCGAGTTCAATATGGGACCGAGAGGAAGAGGCGGGGCCAGTCGTCACGTGATGCGCTTTCCGCGCGCCGCCGGTTTGGCGGGGGTGGGGCGAGCGGAGGAAGGGGGCGTGGTCACGCGTGGCGCCAAGCGGTATCGGGTAAGCGGATTGGCCGACAGGAAACGGAGGCGCGGGAGCGCGCGCGACTCGCCAACCTCCAATGCAGCGACGCCCTTGCCGCCGTTCGCGCCTGGGCCGCTGTCGTGACGTCAGCGCGGGCTGGGCCAATGGCCAGCGCCCACGTCGGGAGAACGCCTCGTGACCGCGCTCGGCTGGAGAGAAAGGCCTTTCCCTTTCTTCTCGGGCCGCTTTTCCACCCCATCCCCCACCGCATGCCTCACGGCCTCCATTTCCTAGTTAATTCCATAGCCGAGCGTGAAATAAAACCACACTTTCTGTCTAGTAATTTATAGATGCGAGAAAGGCCCCTAGGATCATCTCTCCGGCTTCCGAATGGCAGGGACCTCAGTTTGTGCTGCGACACCCGTTTTATAGAGCTGTGCTGAAAATCGCTGCGACGCAGTCTTGTAGGAAAGGCCTCACGTCGCAGCTGAAATACCGAAGGTTTGCCCCTGCGCTCAGAGGCAGGGCCGCTGAGGCCCGCTCAGCTCCGTGTATTTTCACATGCTCTGTCAGCTGTTGTGGCCAGAACCGAAGCTGCAGGGGACAGAGTTTTAAGGGATTGAGTAATTTATGACTTAATAAAACGCAGTTGCCAGCTAGGCTGTATATTCACTAGGAATTCTTTTAATCAGATCACCTGTTTCCAGTGGCAAATTATAATGAATGGGATGAATTAAAGAGAAAGAAGTCTAACCTTTTCTCAGCTCGGTCAAGTAATTTTAAATCGTTTACTGAACGTGGAAATGAATGTCGGATTAGATGATCTTCCAACACCATAGAAGCTGTCAATTAATGATGTATGTATCTAGATGTAGGCAAAGTTAACTGATACGAGTCTTTCTTCCAGTTAGCGGATGCCTTGCATTTTAAATTTAGAAGTCCTGTGGGCAACTGCTTTAGAATTGCTGTGGCCCTCACTTGAGAAATTAGCAACCTAATCATTTATACGCTAAATTGAAGAAGGGTTTGGGTAAACATGCCGAAAGTTATTGGCTTCACAGTTAGAAGAGGGCCAAAGAGTAACAGTTTACGGACGCCCTTTACTAATACCCCAAGAAGACTGGCGTATTCGGAAAACAGGAACAAAGTGGATAGAAACCAGTTGGTGGGCCTCACTGTAACTTGGGTGAAATAGCGTTCCACACTAGCCAGTCCTATTACTCTGATACCATTATCACAAGCAAATGTGTTTATTCTATGTGTCAGCTACAAGTTACTCTTCATAGTAGACACCAACTTAATATGTTTAAAAGGGCCTGGTACGATAGCTTAGTGGCTAAATCCTCACCTTGTATCCCTGAGGATAATATATGGGCATCAGTTCCTGCCCTGGATGTTCTACTTCCCATCCAGCTCCCTGCTTGTGGTCTGGAAAAGCAGTAGAAGATGACCCAAAGCCTTGTGACCCTGCACCCATCCATGTGGGAGATTCGCAGGAAACTTTCTGGCTCCTGGCTTCAGATCAGCTCAGCTTTAGCCATTGCGGCCACTTGAATGACCCAGCTGATGGAAGATCTTTATCTGTATCTCCTTCTCTCTGCATATCTGCCTTTCTAATAAAAAAAAATTTTTTTAATGATTTTTTTTTTTTATTGCAAAGTCAGATATACAGAGTGACCTCAACGGCCGGTGCTGCGCAAATCTGAAACCAGGAGCCAGGAACTTCCTCCAGGTCTTCCACACGGGTGCAAGGTCCCAAGGCTTTGGGCCCATCCTTGACTGCTTTCCCAGGCCACAAGCAGGGAGCTGGATGGGAAGCAGAGCTGCCAGGATTAGAATCGGTGCTAATATGGGATCCCAGTGTGTTCAAGGTGAGAATTTAGCCACTAAGCCACTGCGCGCGCGGTGGGGGGGGGGGGGATGTTTTTTATTAATAGAAAAATGTATAGCCTTAGTGTCAATCAAAAGTTTGTGTATACCAAGAATTTGTGAGTCAGCCTTCGGTGAGATAGTCCTGATAACTTAAGTTCTGGGAATGTGGGAAAAGAAACAAACCAAGTTCAGGTTTGGGAAGATGGTTTCTACACCATGGGACACCATGGGACACCATGAGACCTCCAAAAGTGCTAAATAGAGATCACTTGTTCCCTTCTCCACATATTTGTATAGTTATTTTCAAATCAGGTTTTTTTTTTTTAAAAAAGGTTTATTTGTTTTTATTGGAAAGTCAGAAATACAGAGAGAAGGAGAGACAGAGAGAAATATCTTCCATCTGCTGATGTAGCCCAAGTGGCTACAATGGCCAGAGCTGAGCTGATCTGGAGCCAGGAGCCAGGAGCCAGGAGCTTCTTCTAGGTCTCCCATATCAACCAGCTTATTTCTAAAGAATCACTTCTGTTATTCTTTGCTATTTGTGTTGTAATACATTTTTATGTTAATCTGAGAAACAGCATGGGGCTGTAATATTGCATGCTTTGAACAAGATAGTATGGCAGCCCACTTAACTCAGATTTTTTCTCTTTCACTAAAATGGGAATTTCAACCTTTGGATTCAGATTTGTTGTCCATTCTAACTAAATGTGGTCTTTAAACATGATCTGTTATATGTACTTTTGTTCAAGTTTAACCTCCAGCTCTGAAGTTGCTTGGTAGGACTTGCCTTTGAAGTTAGGCTGCTGTCAGCTCAGAAAGCCTTCTCTTTCACTTGCTGTCTTTTGTGTATTTATTTATTTACTTATTTGTTATTTATTTGCATTTTGCAGGCAGAAAAAGAGATCTCGTTAGATGCCCCCAACAGTCAGAGCCAGACCAGGCTAAAGCAGAAGCAGGGATGTATCACTTGATCCATCACTTGCTTTCTCCCTGGGATTGCATTAGCAGGAAGCCGGACCAGAATCCGAGGGCCAAATACAGAACCAGGAGCTGATACAAGATGTAGGAGATTTAACTGCTGTAGCATTTGCATCTCTTTGAAATGAGAATGTACAAGCTGAAGAGAAGGGAATGGGGACCTAGGGTCATGTGTCTGGCAAATAGACTTTACAATCTATATCAGGATGTCTCAAGTTCTTCTCACTTTGTGATTGTGATGTAGAGAAAATGACAGTGTGTAGCATACTGACGTAAAAGTGCAACATATCCGGAGGCATCGAAGTGACAGTGTAAAAAATAACATTTTCTTTAAAGTATGTGGTTTTGATTTTAAAAGCCAGAGCATTTGAGAAGATATTAAATATTGACTTTGCATAAAACTTTCAAATAAAAATGTTCCCTGCTTTTTAGTGATCAGTTAGACCTTGTTGCTGTGAATATTTATTCGATTTTATGGTTAAAATGGCTTTATACCCTTTCTAGCCCAGACTTTTTAATGATGAACTCTTCATACTCTGAATAGTCATTCTCACTGAGGCACTCTGATCACATAAGTAGGTGATAAAATATTTAAAACCATTTTATGCAGCCATTCAAAATTTACAATTGTAATTATATTTAAAAAATCTCTAACAACTCTTCCTTTTATTGACAAATGTGATTTTATGTGACAGTGCAAATGGATTTTTAAACCCAATAGTGTGTTTTTATATCAAGATCTCCACACTGAAAGTCTAGCTTTCAGAGCATGCGTACGCTGTCAACAGCTAGCCTGGACATCATTGAAAGAGCCCTGGGTGCCAAGGGATAGAAACAGCCACTACGTGACAAGGCAGATATTCCAGAACTGGAGTCGAGTTCCCCAGAAATTGCAGTGTATCCAAGCTCCTCTCTCACTCGGTGACAGACATCCTTGCAGGCCATGTTCTATGTCATGGACACCTGGATCACAAAGTTGCCCATTTGAGTCCTGGCTGCTCCACTTCCAATCCAGCTCCCTGTTCAAGCACCTGGGAAGACACAGGGGATTGACCAAGTGCTCGGGCCTGTGCAACCATGTAGGAGATCAGGGTGGAGTTTCTAGCTCCTGCTTCAGTCTAAGCCAGCCCCAAGCTGTTGTGCTCATTTGTGGAGTGAGAAATCGCTGTCTCTCTCTTTTTTTATTCCCGTCTCTGTCTTCCAAATAAATAAATAAATAAATAGATTTTTAAAAGATTTGGTTTAATTTTTTTTTTTTATTGGAAAGGCAGATAGAGGTACAGAGAGGAAAGAAAAAGATCTTCTGTCCACTGGTTCACTCCCCAAGTGGCTGCAACAGCCAGAGCTGAGCTGAAGCCAGGAGCCAGGAACCTCCTCTAGGCCTCCCACACCGGTGCAGGGTCCCAAGGCCTTGGAGTTGGATGGAAAGTGGAGCAGCTGGGATACAAATCGGCACTCATGTGGTATTCCAACAAATGCAAGGCATGGATTTAGCCACTAGGCTAACACACCAGGCCCAATAAATAATTTTTGAAGGAAAAAAAACAACTTTAAGGTAATTACGTCATGCTAGGATCCTTTTGAGCTAAGGAATCTGTAAGACTGTACAGGTCATATACCCATGAAGCTGGCTCTGATGCCCCGGGTTAGAAGACTCTTGACTGCTTAGGAGTGGTTTATCTCTTGCCATTTTGTGATTCTCTCCATTTCTTCATCAGCCACTCTTACGTGCTTTTTAAGCTTTCTAGTTTCTGCCCTCGGGTACAATAAAATCTCTCCAGGGTCACAGATGATTAGCTGTCAAGTTAATCTCCCTGTTCCCAGCGTTAATCCTCCTTAGTCCAGGGATTACCATCCTTGCTTATCCTCCCCCTTAGAGGTTTCCTTCTCTTGTATTTAATAAGGAGATCGACACACCTTCATATTGTTGTCTCTTCTTCCTTCCAGTTCCTGTTATCTTTTCCCTCTCCCCTGCCACCAGAAATTTTTATAACAGGTATAGGACCTCCAGAAAGACTTTCTGAAATGCCCCCAAGTTCTCTCAGGGCAGTCAACTAACTTACTTTCCTCCTTCCTTCCTTTCTCTCTCT